CATAGTTTGGGGTCTCGTGGGCTTCCCTCATGGAGCAGTGAGCAGTGGGTGCACTGGATGGGCTCTCCCACCACGGGGGAAATGGGTGGGATGAGTCTGAGTGGGAGGATCCCACCTTTACAGGAGGGGCACAGGTTGGTGCCAGGTGCTTTGGTGGGCACCAAAGTGCTGTTTGAGCTGGGACTGTGGCACATTCAGCTAGGACATAAAGAATTATGTGTATGTATGTATGTGTGTATGGACAGCAAAAGGTATGGCAGCACTGCCTGAGTGAAGGGAAGGTGGTTTGGGTGCAAACATCCACACATCAGGAGATTTGCTGTTGCTTAAATGTGTTGCAGCTGTAAAGAGAAACTGTCAGTTCAGCTGTTTTGTGGGAAAAAGTGTAAAAGTGAGTGTGTGTTGGGACAGGGGAGTGTCAGCACAGCCCCCTGAACACGGTGCTGGGTGGTCTCTGCTAAACCCTTCAGTGTGGATCTGGCCCACCTTGGCCACCTCCTGCCACATCCTGGCACCCTGCACATCCCAGGCAGTTCCTGCAGGCCTGGGCTGGGCCACCCACCCCCCAGCCTTTCCCACAGCATCCCCCTCATTTCCTCGGCTAAAAAAAGCTGTTTCTTCCAGCACAGAGCTCGCAGGAAAATCCCCACCTGCTCTGCCCCCAGCCCCTCTAATCCCTTTATGGTGTTTGTGCCGATCCTGCTCTTTGCCTTCCCTCTAATCTCCCCACCCAGCTGTTTGGCAGGACACAAACCACCGTGGGCTGTTCAGATCAAACCCAGGGAGAGGGAATGTTCCCACATGGGGCTCCCTGGCCCAGGGCTCCGGGAGGTGCTTTGGGGGTTTAACAACCAGGGACATCCCCCTCGGTTCCGGCAGCATCCTGAATCCTGGAGGATAATTCAGAGTGAAAACCAAAGTCTCCAGCCAATATCCCTGCTGTCCAGTGTGCCCAGGGATGATCCCTCTTGGACAAGGGTGGGGAGGGATCTGACAGCCCTCTGCCCCACTGTAGCACCAGCTTGTAGCTGGGGTGAAGGTGTTAAAAGTCACCCCAGGAGGTAAATTAGTCCATGTTTTACCCCTCCGTGGTAAAACTTGTTGTGTGACTGAAGATTTTCAATCTGGAAAATTTGCTAAGGATTTATTATTCCTGTTAGACCAAATAATCTTTGGTGTATCTTGGCAAGGTTGGAAAACTCTTGGGCTGATAAAGCCTCAAAGTCAGAGAGATAAAAGCTCTGTTATTGATCTATTATAAGTAATGCATTATATTAAAAGTATTTAGGCCTTGGCCAGGTCTCCACAGGAGGGTTCTCCAGGCATTGCTGCCTGCAGATTGATGACCACCACCCCAAAAAAATAAGTGCTGGGAAAGTTGCTGCCTCCTGCACGGCCTGCAGCTGCTGGGTGACCCCTGTGGATACCGGGATGGTGTCCCAGCTGCCACAGTGGAAGTGATGGTTGGCCTGGGCTGTAGCAGCAAAGCAGAATGAGCTTCTCTTCCTTCTGTCCTTTATCTCCAGAAACCCCTCTGTGCTGGGCCACAGCTCTGAAAGGGCTTCAGCAAAGTCCTCAGGAGATTTAATCTGTGAGCTTTTCCTTCCACAAGGACACCCCTGCTCCCTTCCTGCCCTCAGCTCCGACCTTGGGCCAGTCACTGATTCCCTGAGCGGGAGCCTCGTGGTGGTTAATATTTGCTGTACCTGGGGCAGAGGGAACCTTCTGATTGCGAGGAGCGTGGGCTTGTTTGGGGGTAAAATGTTGTCCAAGAGGCTCTAGGATTCAGGTGTGAATTGTGTTTGGCATTGCCAGTGTAGCAGAGTTGATGCTACAGAAACGGCTGGAATTAGACTGCGGTGAGGTAAGACTTGATCCCAAGAAAAACTGACTAAGCAGGTGCCCACCACTGTATGGCAGAAACACTTTTTCCTGCTTACTAAAACCCTTTTTGGTAGGAAATAATTGTGTACGTTTGGCAAGCTGCCTCGGGTGTGGTGTTTGGGCAAGGGTGGGACCATGGTGCTTGGGGACATGGGTTAGTGGTGGCCTTGGCAGTGCCAGGGAATGGTTGGACTTCATGATCCCAGAGGTCTTTTCCAGCCTAAATGGTTCAGTGATTCCACAGCTGTGCATCCACAGGCTGCTGTCAGCCCTGCTGCCCCCAAACAGCCACAAACACACAGTGTTTGTCCTCCTGGGGCCGGGTGGGCTTTGACCAGGTGAGGGATTATTGGTGTTTGTTCTGCCTTCCCTGTTTGGGTGCTTTGGTGCTCTGTGATTGCAGCCATCCACAGAGGAGCTCTGCTCCCTAATCCAGGTTACTGGTGAGCATTACCACTGCCTGGATTTCATTTCATTTTTCCATTGTTCTGAGCCCACTCAAGCTGTGGGGTGTTATTGCACAGGAGGGCACATCCAGGGCTTTCTCTGGGAATAAAATGAGGCTGTCCCATACCTTTACTCAGGGAGGTGTGGGGATTTGGCACATGGACACACATGTTGCTGGTCCTGCTGTCTGCTGTGAAGGATGCAGCACATCAGGCTCTGTGAGGTCTCTCACCTCTCCCCAGGATGGGTTTGAGATGCTTCCCAAAGGATGCAGATCCATCTCTGTGCTTCCTGATTGCATGAAAGCTCAGCATCAGACCCTGCTGAGGCCAGTCCCGTGGGCTGCAGGTCCCCAGGCAGGACAGAAATGGGAACAGGGAGCCCAGGACCCGGCAGAGCCGCTGGTCCCTCCACCCCCGCGCCGGCTCGGGCACGTGTTGCAGCGGCTCCAGGAAACGCTGCTGCACACCCAGGGGTACATTTCCTCCTGCCCTGGGACGATTTCCAAACAGGAATGAGGAAATGCTGAGCTTTGCAAGCACACTCGTGGATGTGTCCCTAAAATACCCCGTGGAGGGAGGCGGCTGCTTTCGAGCTGCACCCCAGTTTCAGCTGCAGGAGGCCCTGCGTGTCACCCGGGCAGCACCGAGGGCACGGGTGACACAGAGGAGACCCCCCTGCTGCTCCCGGGGACCTCGGGCACATCCCTGGGTGCCAACCTCCTTCCCAGGAGCTCTGCTTGGGGCCGTGCCCGTGGGCAGTGGGGTGGGTGACGTCTGGCCCGCCCGCAGCCCTCTGTCACTGATGTCACTGCCCGGGCACCAAAATTGCTAATTAAGTTCTGCTTCTCTGGCTGCCAATCTCATTTCCTGGTTCTTGTGCAATCCCAAATGCTTTCAGGTTTCTTCCCGATTCTTTATCTGCCTGCGGGACCAAAACACCTTCAGAAGAAAAACAGAGCTGGGGTTTTGGGTGAGTGCCCGGGGAGGAGACGTCCTGGGGGGGGCAATCAACCGTAAAGGGGTTTTTTTTTAGCTGCTCTGGTGCAGATGTTTCATTGTCTTGCAGAAAAACATTCCTGAGGGTGATTCACACTCAAGCACGAGTCTGCCTTAAGGACCGGGGGAATTAGCAAAAACCCAACTGCTTTGGAGCCCAGTCATCCTTTAAAGCCTTTTCTCCTTTTGTAACATCGAAAAACTGCTTAAAAAACAAGGGTGTGGAGAGCCACGAAAAACTACTTAAAAACTGAGGCTGGAGAGTCTCGGTGCCCTCACCCCTCTGGGTTTGCTGGGGGGTTGTTGGAAATCCTGCTCTCCTCCTAGAAAAAAAAATACCGGAGTATTTGAGATAACGCCCGGAGGCGCCGGCACGGGCTGTCTGTGTCTGTGCCGGTTGAGCGCTGGCACCTTTGGGGTCTGTCTGCCCTGACACGTGGGAGCCTCTAACGCAGGATCTATGGAAAACTGGGAAGGCAGCGGCGCGTTTAATTCATTCTAATTGGATCTGCGTTCGGCTCAGTAGCTGGAAATCGCTGCTATGTTGAAATAATCGACTCAAATTCACACACCTGTTGGCTGGGGATTTTTAGCTGACTGTAAATCACATCAGGGCCACTGCGCCGCGGGGATGGTTTGGGGGTTTAAAGGTACTTTACTACGCTCTGGTGCTTAAAAATTGTACTTAAGCTCAACGGTATATAGTTGAGAAGGGCTAAAGTGGGAGATTTTAGTGTTTTCCCAGTAGTTCTCCCTGGAGCCCTCAGCCTTTCCTTCCTTTGAAGGAAAGCCCGGGGGGCAAACACAGCCCTGCAGCCACGGGGGGCTGAAACCGGGTGGGCAGTTGTCCCTGGGGTGTCCAGGGTAGGATGGGGGGAGAGGCAGTGGTAGGGCTGCCAGGCATCTCTCTGCCCCTGTCCCCAGGGATTTGGCTACTCCTGTCCCCAGGGATTTGGCTACTCCTGTCCCCAGGGATTTGGCTACTCCTTTCCCCAGGGATTTGGCTGCTCTTGGCCTTGGGGATCTGGCTGGGCCTGGTATCTCCAGGACCACCCAGGCACCTGGATCCATTCCCAGGCATCCCACCTGCACAGGGCATGGTCCCAGAGAGGCTTTTGGGGTGCTGGGGGGAGCAGCTTCCCCAACTCTCACCCCACAGCAGTGTAGCAGGGCTGGGGGGAAAAATACCTGCCCGTGTGTAAGGAGGCGACCCTATATAAACAAAGCGTCAGGGGACACAGGCAGCGAGGGGGCAGGAGGTGGAAAACAGGATTTTCAGTGATTAATACTCGTTATTTTAAAATAAATACTAAGTTATTTAGCCAATAACTCGCAGTTTTTTAAAACGAAGCGATGTTTTAGCCGTATGATAACCGTGGCTTTCAATAAGCCACATTTCAGTTTGAGAAAGAAAACAATGCTAAAGGCGTTTGGAGGGTGTCCCTGGGGGTGGGGGCCGGGGCCCGGCGCTGCCGCC